TAGCAGCTGCTTCTTGTTTTAAGCTGTTCTCTGGGGAGCAGCTAATTGGATTACAGGCCTGGAAATTGAAGAGATGCGGCTTGGCACTGGTGTACCTGGCATGAGGGAAGGTCCTCAACAGCACTGCATGGGCACGCTGCTGCCGAGCAGACCCTGGTAATGGGAAGAGAAGAAAAAAATAAAGTACCATCTTCAGTCACTGACTGATTTCAACACAGTGTGAGCTTTTCAGTGGTGCCTCACGGTACCTTGGGTAACTTTGAGCTGTAAATGAAGGGGTATGTGCCAGCCATCAATTGATGCTCAGTCTGGGCGCCCTTTAGTGAATGATGCCTGTGAAACTTCTTGGGCACCAGCAGCCTTTCAGGTGTGCACCCCTGGCCCAGATGGGCACAGGACAGCCTGCTGGGGCTGCCATGTGCCTGGCGTGGCACCTCTGCTGCCGTTGGTGTGGGAACGGCTTGTCATTGGTGCAGGCATGGTGTCCTTTGGCAGACTTCACTCTGCGACCTGCTGTAAAAATGTCCTCCAGCCTTTCCACAAGAGCTCTGCCCCTGTGGCCAAGCTCAGGGCCTCTGGCACCGGGTGCAGGAGGCACAGCCAGTCACAGCTGGACACTGCCGGGGCAGTTAGGAGGTTTATTGTCATTTGTTTCCATGTATAGTAGAAAAGTTGATGCTAACCCTAAATACCTTCCCAGGGACGTGGCACATCTTCATTTAACCCAAACTGCCAGACTTTCTTTTTCCGTCGTGAGGCTGCACCCACACCTGCGGGACAGCAGCTTCTGCCTGCAGCAGCATTTCCTGAGGTCGGGGTTCATGTCTTAGACAGAATAAAGCCTTTCAGATCACCATACCTCGCTCCTGGGGTGCCTTATTAAGCCCAACTAGAAATGGTTTGCAAATGAGAACAATTTTTTCTATTTCTTATTAGTTAGTTTTTCCTCATTGTTCTCCCAAACCACCGTGGGACATTTGCAGGAGCTCACGTCTCACATGCCTGTACTGGGACACGGTGGGAGTGCCTGTCCCCTTGCAGGGTGCCTGTCTCTCCCAGGAATCACAACTAGGCTGGGAAATGCAGCCCAGTGGGGTCAGGGCCACAGTGACAGGGAACCAAACTGCTGCAAGTGGCCTCTGTTCCTCTGGAAGCCACTGATTACAAGTGCTTTGGATGGAGGAAAGCCCTCCGAAGGCATCCTGCTCTTCCCTACAGCGTGTGCCTGAAGTGGAGAGTTCAGAGTGGCTGCTGGGTCTTGTGAACGGAGAAATCAGGCGACCTGCTCCACACCCAGTGTTTGAGCAGCGTAACGTGCCACCGATCTCACATGGGCTGAGGCCGTACGTTTACCTGTGCAGGCAAAAAGCCAACCACAAAAAGCCAGTTTTCCCCACGCACAGGGCCGGTGGGCACGCAGTACTGGGAACCTGGCCCACGGTGCTGCCCCGTGCTGGAAGGCTTCTTCTGGTCCTCTCACTGGAAGCCTGCAGGCCCCTTGGTTTTCTTCATGTTTTCTCGGGCTGCTTTAATTTCACAGTCACTGAAATGTCACTGTTTTGTTTAAATCATTAATATTACATTTTTAAGAAAGTAATATTAGGATTTATCAGGCAGACTGATGATGTTAAGAAATGACAGTACACTTGTTTCCAGTTTTTAATGCTTTCTTGTAAAACTGAAAATATAAAACCAGCTGAGCAAATGAAGATCTTTATATACATGAGGTCTGTGATTAAAAAAATCCTTTTAGTTAAAAAAAAGAGAAGAATCGACCAATGAGTTAAATGAAAACTGATTAAAGGGAACAACATTCTCAAATTGAAACATATTTTTCAGGAAAAAAAAGCCCTTCTTTACAAGTTTATTATATAACTTACATTTACACTTTACTGAGAGAACTTACAAAACAAGCTGCTTGAAATGCTCCTCATTCCCTTAAAGCATGAATTTCAAAGTGCCACAGCAAAGGAACAGGGTCCAATATTATCTTATACAGACTATTCATGTATAAAATGGTTTGGTAAATGTGAGGTGTTTATTTAAATGAGCACATATAGGGATACAGACTAAATAAAAGTACTTGAACAACACCTTTGTTATTACATACTCAGTTATAGGCATAATAAAGAAAACAAGGTCAGCACTGCTCTTAGGTATCTGTATAGATGGAAGGGATGTGATTCAAGCAGTGATCAAAGGCGCCGTTTTGGAAGAATCCATTTTCATCAGTTCCGTTGGAGACCATGTCTTCAGACACGCACTGTGCTTCGGAGATCGCATCGTAGCCTGAAAGCGGGACAAGTTGCACAGACATGCCTTAGGACCACGGTACATATAAGGAAGGAAGCGTAGTTTGAGGCCTGGGATCACACACAACAGCACAGCGCTAATGAAAAGACAATAGGGTTTACCATCAAAGCCTTACCCAGGAGATACACAAACTAATCTCCGTGGGCATTGGTGTCACAGGAGATGAAGCTCCCATTCATTTCTGCGGAAAGCTACGCTTGGCAAGTGAAGAGCAAGGATCAGAGTATGGCTCTCGTGGGACTTGACAGTCATTATCTGAATAGGATGTCAAAACAATGAGTGGGCACGCATCCTGGTAAGCGTGCACTAAAAGTGATGCGGTCCCCTTGTGTTTTGTGTTTTTCCTTTTAATGGCACTTAGGAAAAATGTTCCATGTGTCTCCCAGCTGCTTTTAAGATCCAGAAGAAATCTGGATACTACATTTGTTGGATCCTCACATACTGCAGAAGTGAGGTCTGCAGAAGCATGTCTAGGTCAGGTCAGGCTCACAGGATGTGTGGAAGGAGCTGTGCACCACATCATTGTCCTCAGCCCACCAAAGCCCACCTGCTGCTGGCTCCTCACCTGGCTGAGCTGGCTGGTGCTTGCCAGGCTACCAGAAAGCCACTATGGTGGGGAAGAATTTCTCTGTCCTCCTTCTATAATGCAAAACTTCCACAGCTGTTACAAGCCTCCCTGAGCTGTGCATCCCTGTGGAAAGGAACATATTTACCTGCTACCAGGTGCTATGGCAGCTGGAGTGCCAGGGAGTCTGAAACAAAAGGTTTATTGCCTACCTCAAAGGACATGAAATATGCCCCGCTATAACCTGCTTCTGCAACTGGCCAGTCAAAGCTCACTTGCATTTTACTGTGGTTCAGATCTTCCCTTACTTCACCCCTGCTGTGTTCGCCCCTTGCCTTGCTCTTCTTTCTGCATCTGTCCCTGTGCCTGCGCTTCTCCTCACACCAACCAGACCCTCCTATCTGCCCCATGGCCCTGCTGTCTGCCTGGGGGGTGGGCGACCTCCTAAGCCTTATCCTTCAACAGTTTTTAACCCACCCCACTACCCCCTCCCCAAACTACTGCATGAAACACTGACCCCTTATGTTCATCCCTTAATACACGTACTCTATTTTACCCTGTACCACCTGACTTGGGTTTGGCCTTTACAAGTGTCTGTGTGAGCTTCAGCGCATGGTTCTGACCCCTGCACCCAGCCCACAGAGCCCACCTGCCACCATTGTAATAACCTGCCGCAGCACTAACTCAGCCGAGGCAACACATGGAACAAGATTCTTCTAGTTAAAAACAGGCCCGTGAACTAAGTGCCTGATGTAGAAAATGAATCTCTTTCAAATCACATTTGGGTGATGATCTTTACGGTCCCTTCCAACCAAACCATTCTATGATTCTATGAGTTGCAGGTCGAGTGTGGATGGCTGATCCTCGTGATCACTGGGACCTGGCTCCGGTCTCTGCTTGACAGAGGAGCTCTGTGGGATCATTGGAGTTTTGCTGTGCTTCAGTTCCCCACGTGGAAAATGAGGCTTACTCTTCTCTTTAGCCTTTCTGTCATCTCTTCGGCCTGCCTAACCCTACAGAGAAGTGGGTCTAGATAGGCTGAATCAAACACTGCTCCAGGCTTGCTGGGGCCTCCCGGCTGTGCAGCACCGCACCACCAGCAGTAATCACAGATCCTGAAGTCTTACACAGCCAGCCCTGACTTCAGAAAGAACTGTCGGCTCAGTCCTTAGTCTTTAATTATAGGTATTTTACTATTAGGTACGTTTTATTATTTGAGACCAAATTATCTACGTATTTACATTTCTGCATTTTCCTATGACGTACTAATTTACTGTGAGCTTACAGGTCAAATTCTGCTGTCTGCAGAAATCTGGCATGCAGCGTATGTCCAAAGTCCCTGGAAGACAAACTTAGCCTGTTTATCTGCCCTATGCTGTGTCGGTCCAAGTGGAGTGACCAGTATTTTGGTGAGTTTTGCAAGTGTTTATGTTATGCTAATTTCTGTTTGATGAGCCTGTATACAGGGTGCATACACAACCTCAGATGGACAAAACCCAAGATAAGCATACACCCCAGAAATCATTATTAGATTCCAGATAGAGTAAACTATCCAAAGTCCTGAACAGAAAATAAAAATTTATTGACTGTTAATGTGATTCATGGAACAGCTGTTTGCCAGTCACATTTGGCATTCCTATGAGATGAGATCTCATTTAATATTAATGGTGCTATAAAAGCCTGAAAAAAAATAATGCATAGCCTTGATGAATCTTGCAAACCTGAATGGTTCTATTTTACACAAAAAAAAAAGATGAGATAAGGTTTATATATTTCACATATATTTATGTTTCTGCCTTTTAAGTATTTGCATACCTCAATAACCACTCTAAAAACAAAAATATTACACAGAAACATTTCATAATAGTTTAACTCCAGACAGAAAAATCAACTGTTGTTGAAGTTGGTGTCTTGCCATAGTATTATTCTTTGCTCCTACAATTTCTTTTAGAAAGTTTATTTAGTCTGTGCTTTAAATATTGCAGGCTGTCAATCTAAACTTGAAATTTGATGTTAACATGAAAAAACTATGTTTTAGTAACATCAAACTTATGAATAACACAAAAGAATTCAAAGTTGAAGTTGAAACTTCATCTTAAAACTTTTCCCTTGTCCTCGTTACTGATGGATACACTTTCTAGCATGGAACACCAGACAAATGCATGCACGCTCTCTCTGAACAGAGCCTCCTTTAATACAAAACAAACAGGAAAGTCAACTCTAATTTTGTGGTCTGACTCAGGCCCCCTTCAAAAAGCATTTAAACATATGTTTTCAGTATCGTCCTTAACTGAGATGCTCTCCTGAATTCAGACAAGAAGAAAAATTTCTTGGAGATGTGCAAGTAAAGATTGCAGCGAATGTTAGTGTTTCATGGCTCTGACAATAATCACATTTTGTTTGATTTCAGTAATTCCATTTATTCTTAGTTGTGGTTTTAAAAGTAGAAAAAAAGGCTTTATAAAAAGTAATACTTAAATATTGAAGTATTATAGTAATCTAGCTGTAATAACTCTTGCAAATTTTACATTATGCAAAATGCATACACATAATGCATTATGTAGCTAAATGGGAAAATAAAACTGCCATCAATGTGCAACAGCACTAACACACAGAAACTCCCAAACAACAAGGGACTAACTAATATTTTTAGCTGAATTTATCAAGGCAGGGCCTTTCCATTTTGTAAACATCAGTATTGCCAAACGAAGCCATCCTTTTATTCTTACATGGACAGGAAGTTCCTGCTGCTGCTATTTTCTTCAGAGTTGTGTTAACTATCTTCTTAACTTTGATCTGACCTTAAAAGCCTGCCTGAGCCTACCTGAGGAGATGTACAACGAACAGCCCACACGATAAATGTGAAAAGTGTCTTGTTTGTCAGCGCTTCTTAAGATTTGTGTCGCCTATGACACCCAGCAGACCGAAAGGAGAATTTGTCCATCAGTCAAATACAGGACGATTGAGGCCCTGAGCAACCTGATCTAGTTGGAGATATCCCTGTTCCTTGCAGGGGGGTTGGACTAGATGACCTTTGAAGGTCCCTTCCAGCCCTAACCATTCTATGATTCTATGATTCTATGATTATAGAAAACAAATTTGCTTTCCTTCTGGGATTTTTAGAGATGCAAATGAATTTCAGTGACTAAGCTTTTTTGCAAACATATTTTTGTAATAACATTGACTATAAAATGTGTTCTTTGCCCCTCCTGCTAAAAATACCGTACGGATAATTCTTTATAGGTGGAATAAATTACCTGTTGAAGCTAAAGGTGCATTGAGTATGTGATAGCCGTTCTGTCTCAGAGGATTAAAGCAATGGGATTCCCCTGTTATCACATCACTGGTGACAGACTGGTCCATTGTTCTGTAGCAATCTCCATAATGGAAACAGTTTTGTATTGAGTGAAAGCTGCCTTGGTAACCTGAAAACAGATATTGCACGTACATTTTAACACTGCTGCAATGGTATTAGCTCCATTTCTGTCACAGTATTTCATTACTATTGTTGGGGGCTTTTAGTTCCTCAGTTTTAACTATGGAAAAATGATCATGCTATGCTATAAGGCGTAATAATATAAAAGCTACATCAGACTCGGTCTCACAAGGTGCTGTGGACTGTGATCCCCATCAAGCAAAAATCCCAGGGATGTGCTTTGTTTCAAGCAATAGATCAGCTGAACACAGTCAACAGCTCACTTGTGTTCAAAGCTAAGCAGTAAGTACTCCACTGGATCAGGTCCTGGATGCTCAGCTCCCAAGGGAATGAGTCTATAATTAATTACTTTTAATTTAAATACAATAATGCAATATTTAAATTAATAGCACTGCTTTTTTTTTCAGTTGAGTAAAGTCTTTTCCCATCCAGTGTGCGTTACGCACTGCTGGAGACAGTGCTATTTATTCGAAATACCTTTAAGAGTACCTTAAACCTCTCCTTTCTCAGATTGCTCTTATTTCAAATGCCACAGTCTGCAAGTAAAATTGAGCTAGAAGTGCAGGACTGACTCCAGATGGACGTCAGGTGAAGACTTCGAGTTCAGCTAGAGGCTCTTCTTGCTTCTGAAATTGCCAAGATAAATCTGCATGGTCTCTGGCTGCCTCGGTCATTCTGCTTTTGGGCATGTTTGACTTTTGTCCCCCACATACCCTACATTTCTTCTGTCCTGCTTTTCTTTTGAAGTATCATATTACCAGTGGACCAGCAGTTTGGTTTTTGCCAGGAGAAGTTGCGAATGAGTTGTACACAACAGAAGAAGATATTTAACAGCAAAGGGCAAATGAATTGCTGAGGAAGGAATTTTACAACTTAGAGGTTTGTGCCAACATCCTAAAAGAAAATGTTATTTGCTCCGTAAGGATGACCTCAAAGCATGCCACAAGATTTATACCAACCGTGGCCTGATTTAATTCTCTTCCTTTCTCCTGCCTCAATAACCTCTTCCTGATTCCAGATGCATTGCACACTAATTGCACATTCATATTAACTATCCCTATTCCTACCTTCTCTGACAGCCCCTTATGAAATGATGCTTCTTCCCTTATATGCAACTGAAATCAACCAAGTCAGCCTTAAAGTTTCTTAGAATGTGCCATCAGGATTTTCCTCCAATTGCCAGAAAACATACAGAGCTGTTGTCTTTCTTCCCTCTTACTCAGACTAAAACATTTCCCAAGGAACTCCTGCAAAAGCTCCAGGTAGTTCAGTCAAACACAGACACAGCCAGATTTTCAGTTGACAGAAGTCGGCGCAGCCCCACTCGCCAGTGGAAGGCTTGACTTGCCGGGCCAGTTGTGCAGCTACTCAGTCTGTTTGTTTAGAAATGAAATACCTGTGCCTATCACCACAGTGCCTGGGTGCTGTGCAGGGTGGAATTTGCTCCTTAATAAATCATGCAGCGTATAAGCTTTTCCTTGTTAAGAAAGATCTCCTTCCCTTTTCTGCATTTTTCCTTTACTACCAAAGTCTGACTGAGTAGACAGTATCAGGCAAAACTCGGTCTGTCTGTTCATTCTGGCTATGTTTTCTAAAGGTGGTAATAAATAAGGCTAAGTGAGGGAATTCTTTAGTAGAAATGCAATGAACTCATCAAGTGGTTAAAGATTTGCTCTGAAGTTTCACAGTTTAATATGTGTTTTGGCAGAATCTGCAAGGATTAGATGATTCATTTCTTGAGAACCTACCATCCTCCACCACAAAATACCTGAACCGTTGATGTCCATGACTAGTGAAGTACTAATGGATGACTATATTAGATAAAGACACTATGCACACTGTACCAAAGCTGTTTGCTGCTATGTAGAAGAAGGCCCAGAAATTTGGAAAGCTGAGTATTAAATGATGCATGTCCTTCCTTCCTCGAATAAATAGACAGCCACCTCTGTTTACTGCCTGGAGAGTCTGGCTCAAAAAACCAAAGAGCTCTTATGAGAGGTAGCAAAGCCATATTTTGATGTGGTTTTAGGTACAGTGCTTTATTGATTGGCTTTTGATAATTATTCTGACTTTCCCGTTTTCAAATCATGAACTCTGCTGTAAGCCTTCTAAAAATACAACCTTTTGAGATGAGCAGTGAAAAAAAATGAGACACTTGGCTTCAGAAGAGGTACAACTGGTTGCAGAGAGCACTTATATGCATTGCTAGAGAAAAAAATGAACCTTTTCCAGAATGTCTGCTATACACATCAGTTCCAGGGAAGGCATGACGTGTATTTTCTCTGTCTCTGTAATTGCTGCCCTTTCGTCATGCTCCCAGGCTTGCCTTTGTTAAATCAATTAAATATCTTTATGATCTACAGGGCTGGCACAGTGGCTTAGAAAATCAGAAAACAGCCAAGCATGACAGAACTGGATTGAAACTAGTTGGAGCCAGGGTTTTCTCAAGACCTGTGGGTAAAGGTTTCTTTTGAAGTGTTTTAAGTTGCACTGTCTAGCTGCTCAGGAAAAAATACCTGAGGCAGAGAACTGCCTCAGAATCAGAAGTCTGGAAAAGAACTGCTGTAAGCAATCAAATTCTCCTTTGGATTGCTTCTCACTGTGTGATCATCTGAAAAGGCAGCTCAAAAAGTGTTACTGGAACTATCCAACGAAGAGACATGATGTAGGAAAATATTAGTGTTATTGCATTGTTGTATTCACCAGGACCAAATTTCTGCTAAGTGCTTCCCCCAAAAAATACAGAGAAATACGCCATTCTTGTTCTAATGTGCTTGCAGATTTGATAAATGCAGATGGCGAGCTAAAGAAAAAAGATGGAGTGAGGAAGGGGAAGGTTGCAGCAGGAGCACTGTTCGGGTGAAACAAACCATGACACTGAAAACGGGACTTTTAATCCTTCTGACCTGAGCGGTATAATGAAAGCTTGCTGCCTTTTTCATTAGCTTCACAGAAATGCTGAGACAGTGAAAGGGACAGGGGCATAAAGGAAGGCATTCCATGCGTGTGGAAAAAGGCACAGGGAAGGCTGTAGGAGAAGTGGACTAAAAGGCAGGTAGCTGCTTCCTTGAGGATGAAAGGTGAAAGGCAGACACTCCCAATAGCTTTTGCAATTGCAAAGGTGGGAAAGAGATGGAGACTCAAGACAGCTCTTCTGCATGGACAAGATGACTGTTAGGCAGTGCCTGCTTTATCCCTTGCAGGGATCTTGCACCAGACAGTTCACTGCCTGGTCGGAGACCTGTCAGCAAACACTTGTATTTCTCTTCTGTGTGTTTACATGACTCATCTTCAGAATAACCTCTCACACGACTGTATGGAGCTTTCATGGGGAGTGACAGTGGCAGCGGTTTATTCAGGAGGACCCTGGCCTTACATCCAAAACTAAAGAACAGCAGTTGCAGCTGGTGAACCTGATCTGCAGTTCTACTACGAGGGTGTATAGGAAGAATTTGGTGATGTTCCCTGCACTTAAACTGGGCATGAAATAACCCTGGGGTAGAAAGAATTGTGCTTGCAGTATTAAAAGCTGTATTTCAAAATGTAGCTAGCTAAATGTTAATCTTGGAAGGTGGAAATGAGTCTTGGAGTGACTGAAATTGCATACCTCCGGGTTGAAGGACTGCAGGATCAGTGAGTTACTATGTCAATGAGATTTTTTTCATGATTTTTTATATAGTTTCTATACTCCCACCTATTGCTTCAGAGGCACAATTGGAGAGTTCCTTTTGGTACCAGGTAGGCTGGCTCTTGCTGATGGCCTTCAGTAGCCTGGCATGGCTCAAGAGGCCAGTCAGTCTGTTCCAGAGGATCTGAGCCTCACGCATCTTTTACACTACTAAAAAGGGGAAATTGTTTAACCTTGTTTAAGTGCTGAGTGTTCCCAAAAACCAAAGTAATTACACAAGAGATGGAAAGGCCACGTGAGTTAATGCAACCACGAGGACTTCTGTAACAACGGGTGCTCTTGCCAGGTAAGGTTTCGTTCATTTTACACAACCACAGGAAATGAAAGGTGTTGCTTGCAGACAATACAGTGTTTGATTTGCATATGCAATCCAAGTCAGAGCTTTACTGCATTTATACATTCTTATATGCAGTATGAAAAAAAAAGGTGCTTTTGGTGCATGCTATTTTGTTTTGTCTCCTTTAGATTTTTCTAAATGCTTTACGCAGAAAGTATTAGGAATTAAGATATGATTAAATCCCATAACCAGTGGTTCAATCAGCAACCACATATGGTTGATCAGAGTAAACTAAACATGGAGCATTTTTTACAAGTCCTTAGAAAAGCCTCCCTTCAGTGGTTAAAATATGAAGTAAGCAAGAAGGCTTGTCTGGTGCAAACTTCCCCACTCCTTCTAGGAGAGCAAAAGTGTATTAACACTTTGGCAACAAGTGTTTCACCAATATTTTTTTTTCCACATGGATTTCACATTTTCCTTCAGTTTTGATTTAAATCAAAAATTTTCTAAGGTTAATTTTCAAGCGAAGAATTTACTAAATGTTCTGTCAGTTTAAAGGATCACTATTAAATGTTTTATGTACAGTAGATGTAGAAATATAACAGTTAATAAAGGAATAAACTGAGTTCCAAACATAACATTTACTTAAAATTTTGCTTTGAAATAATTTGTGACAGAAAAGCTGCAGTTAGCCACTTCACACAGTGCACTGGCTGCCTATGTTGCTCTAACGCACAGCCTAGAAAACTTCAAGCAGCTTTAAAATGAATGATGTAATGAGCAAATAATTGGAATATGCCTATTAAACGCCATCTTGTTATGTCATGTCATTTACATCTATGTGCAAATAAATCTCAGCTCTTCAAATTCTGTAGCATTTCTGACAAGAAATCATGTCAGGTATAAATAACTACAGGATTCCATTGCCTGCCAAATTCTTTCAGCATGTAATAATTTCCATATGATCTTACTACAACTGGGTTTAAACATATAAATAATGTCAGCTTATTCTTCCATTATCAATACTTCTGCTACCAGCTTAAGAAAGCTTGCTGTCTTCTAAACATTTCAGATCCACAATGTTTAGATGCTTCTACACAGACACCTAGCTCTACAGCTAGACTGATAAAGCGTTCCTTTTTTGAGCAGAAATTCCAAACTCCCAAATTACTACAGATTCCATTAGAAAAATGTGCTATTAATGAACTGAGATGCAAAAAAGACACAGAGCAAGAACAGCTAAGTACAGGTTACAGATCCATTGATTTCAAAGGCTGCTAATGAAAATTGATTTCTGAATTACCATTTCCATAATGAATTTATAATAATACTTCAACATTTGGCCAAAGTGGAAAATTATTGCTTTTTCAAAACCGCACGACATAACACTTAGAAAGCAACAATTCATTCAAAAGGAAATGTGGTTTTCTTAAGGAATAAAGTAAATTTATTTAAGTGGTTCAAAACTTGTTCTGTCTGTGCATTTGTTTCTGCCATAGTAATGAGCTGCTAAACTTTCCTCTTGTGGTTTGTAGTTATTTAGCTCATTATAGTAACATAATCATATATCATTATATGCTATCATAAATCTGCCACTTTTCCCTTACAGAGTTAATCTTTTAAAATTGAATAATCTGCTGAGCATCAGGTTGAGTTAGTTTTTCCTTCAGCACAACTCATTTAATATAATATGCTTTAGCTTTTCAGACTAAGGCAGCCCAACCAAAGAGCAGAAATACTCCTCAGAGAAGGAAGGGCAGAGGGAACTGTTGGGATACTGAATCCCATTACAGCTGTGAATCGCTCACGGGGTTTGTGTTCAACTCTTGCATTTCAGAACCTGCCTTAGCGTGTACGGAGAGAAGGCAAACCTCCTATTTTGCCCACTGATAAATTGATCGCGTGTGATACTTCGCCTGCCAAAAATGACCTTATACAAATGACAGTACAGCTGTGAAACGAGTTTCAAAAAGCTGGTTATCTGCCTATATAAACTTATCTGCTTGGTTATACTCGCGACCAGACAGATGTCCTGCATACTACTTTATTGTGAATATTTACCACACTTAAGCAGCATACCATCTGGATCATTTAACCTATTTCTTAAGTATGCAAGCTTCTGTTACTGGAACAATCTGTGATAATAACGTCTCTTGCTAATTTATACCTCAAAACTTGCAGAAACATTAATTAGTTCCCACAGCAGAACTCTGGAATAGGTAAATAAGCTCTCAATTAAAAAGGCTGAGTAATTCAGAACAAAAAATGTTTTAAATTAAGCAGTGGGACAGCTGCTTAGCTGCTCCTGTTCCTGTCCTCAAATCACAGTGGCACTCTCTAGTTGTACAGAGTGCCTTTGCACGTTATTATCTAAAATGACACAGATGCCAAACTTTCAAATAATAAATAGCAAAATATTTTTTTCTTTCTCTAAGCTCATGTCTACTGCATCACTACCAGTGGACTGAGCAGGACATCGCCAAGGTGTGCTTCAGCCCATGTGTTTTGGGACTACATGACTCTTGCTTTGGCAGGGTCCAAGCTGACGGAAGGCTGGATAACCAGTCAGATGAGGTGCATAGTTAGTAGCCATCTACTGAAAAACCTGAATAAATGCAATAAATCTGCTGTTGTGATAGCTTTCCCCATTATGATAACATATCGCAGCATGAATTGGTCTGAAAATTTTGCTCTGTATGTATATCAAGCCACTTTAAAAATTGGAGTTTCCATTGAAATATAGTCAGTCCTTTAATACGACAGTATTGGCTGAAAATGCAACAACTTAAATTCTTTCTCCATAACTAGGAATTAGGAAAGGTAAAACAAAACAAACAAACAAACAAACAACAACAACAACAACAACAAAAAAAGGAAGAGTTACCTTGAGATCCCTGCTGTACAGACTGGTTTTGAAATTGAGTGTATGGTTTATTTGGTATTCCAGAAAATTGCTGCCCATTTGGTGACTGGCTGTGTGATGACGGAGAGCCGTGTTTCTGCAATAGGGAAGGTGGAACTAGTGCTTTCAGGGGGCTGACAAGCGGAGAGATTATGTTGGGAGCGAGCCTAGAAAAAGAAAATACAGAAAAACTTGACATCTCACATCACAATATGGGAAAACGAAATACTTGAAAGGCCCTATTTCCATAATGGCCAAACTATAGAAACATTTATTTTGCAGGTAGAAATTATAGTGTAAAAAAAGAAGCTATCAATACAGTGCTGCTTGACACCACTCCTCAGTAAGCACCTTAAACACAGCTCAGTTTTAATTTAAAATTTCGTGAGCTGAGATACATGCCCAGAAAACAGAAGTGGAAAATGTAGTTAGAGTGAGTAAATGCAAGTAAATTGTTTAAGTGCCTTCGTAGCTGTAACGGGATAAAGTGTTACACCCAAGTTGCAGCCAAGACAAAGAAAAGCATTAGTTTCAGTTACTCCTCTTGTAGGATTTTTTAGTCTTGGAAATACAGCTTTAACTGCAACAGATGGTGCCATCCTTTCAAAGAAAAAGCCTGAGTAAGTGTTTGCTTGTGACAGCACTGCTCAGTGTAAGACTGAGAAGTGGTTGTACCTGAGAGATGGAAAATTCCCCTGAGACGCCTGGGACTCAAGTGCTGGAGCTGTCCCGCACAGGAGCGCTGCGGCTGTCCCGCTCGGGGAACAGACCCTGACCCAGTGCTCCCACAAGGAGCTGGAGCAGCTGAGGAAGAACCTCACCAATGCACTTCCATGAAGTCCCCGGGCATCCTCTGCCACGGGTGGAGCAGAGAAGCTTCAATGCCTCTTCCCTGTCACAACGCAACCATCCCACCAAGGGGTGGCACAGCGGCCCGGGGGGGACGAACCCTTTGCCAGAGAACTGTCCTTGGGCCATTTACAGCCAGAAGGATGGCACGGTGCAGAGGATGGGACCAAAACCCCAGGCATTCACGTACAAGCCTCTTTTAGAGCTGCATTAAACTACCTCTGTGAATGAGTAAATAGGTAGAAGCTGGATCTTTTACGCTCCTACGGTAGCTGTGACCAATGGCCTTTGCTCCACGGCCCAGTGTCACACTGCCAAATGTGCGGGCTGCGTGGACCATATGTTTGCCATATATTCTCTGCTGCCTCTGGAGCTTCTGCTAAACATAAGAAGTGGCTCTTTGAGCAGCACTAGACCCTTCAGATGCTA